GAAGAGCAGATGCCATACCAACTCACAACAGAAGATGATTCAGGCAGAGATTTCTGCCTGTTGGGCAGACTTGCAAAGGCTTCCTCAGCCCTCATAATTCTGCTCATTAATTTTCTGACTGCTGCCATAAATCTTGCATTTTGATAACTCACCTATTAGCCCAGACAAGCAATGCGCAACCCTTGGCAGAGATCAGGCCCTGTCTTCTATAGAGCCGATAGAAAGCAGCAAACTATCTGGCTTCTTCACTGGAAATCTGAGCCTAATACGTCTGTAACACACTATGCTCTTCACTGCCCAGAAAGAAGGCTGATATTTGGATTTCCTAGGCCTGGTTCTTTTTTTTCAATTAAGCTGCGTGTTCACTGGTGTAATTTCATTTGATTTAATATGACTTACTGTTTCCCAGTGAACAGAGAATCATTAATCACACACACTGTCTTCAAACAAAATCCACAGACATTTTTCTTGTTCTAAAGAAAGCTCCTCCCTCCTCCCTTCAAAGTCTCATATTTCACAAAAGGTTTCCCACTACTCCAGGACTATCCAGGCACTGGAAATCTGTGTCTCCAAAGGCCATGGACTCAGGAAAATAAAGAAATACACGGTGACCAGCTGTAAGGCACAAGTGACCTAACTGTTGAGATCTGTGCTTCCACACTCACGGGATAACCCATTACCAGCGTTCAGGAAGGAATTTTTCACAAATACAAATGCATTTGACACGTTTAAATATGATTTTTTAGTCATGAAAATACACATGCAAAAAATTAAAGTTTCCACCATGAGTAAATGTTAAAAGTCTGGATCCTTGGTGTATAATCCGTAGCAGACATACAAAAACTGGTAGGAATTTATATGATTTTTTTCATTTCAAACTTTAGCACGTGTATGATGAGAATATGGTTACCTGGGAATACTAAAGGCCAGCTCTTTTAGAGTACTGTAAAGTAAGTGCTTACCTATTTGTCTACTACTTTGCAATCAGCATTCCTACAGCAAAACTGCGTTTTTTTCCTGGAATCTCAACATTACCATGAACTTATTTTTCCTAATAGCTTTCAGACACGAAACAAAAATATGAAGCTCTAAGTCCTCACATCCCAGAAAGCGTTCTTCAATCTTAAAGTCAGTGTCCAAAAGGACAGAACTAAAATGCACAGATCTAGCAAGGCCTTCATTGTCAAGCTGCAAAGGAACAAGGTATTTGCATTTTACCAATTAGCTGCTACTATGAGTTTTACCATTCACCATGCCAAAGAACATACTTTGTTTGGGCTTTTCAAAGCTGTGCACAGAAACCAGCCACAGACGCACCAGCCATGCCCCTAGCGGGAGGTATGTAGCTAAGCAATTGTTACGGCACCAAAATGTTTAATTATGATGAGGTTTGCAATGAAATTTGGTAACGGGCCATTTTCCCCGATGAGCTGAGCGTGGCTTGTGAGTTTCCAAACCAGATATCAAGTGATGATTCAGTAGACGCATTCCTTTGAGCCACCTGAAAATCCAAGCCCAGCAATCTTGGTCCACTTGTTACCCTTTTCTTTCAGGTCACTGCTGAGAATATCGGGGAACAATCTGTTTTCTCAGTGGAAGTGGTACGAAGCCCACGCCTTCCTAAAGACCTTCTGCATGCTATAGATTTTATGATTAACAAAATAATGACAGCTGCATCCTTTCTAGTTTCTTAAAGGAGTTCAGCTAACATTACCCCGAAGAACAAACAGCCAGGCTGGAAGGGCGCTGGGAAAGGAGAGAGCTTGCACAGTTCAGGAATAAGCAATGTAAAAGCTTCCTGAACACATTCAACTAAAATGTAATTGATAAAATGGCCTTGAAAATAGGGGGTTCAATTATGGACTGTGGCTGTGATCATTTTCCTAGTCTAAATTACTCGGGTATAAATGAAATGAAATAGGACTTGGACTCTGCTAATTAACCACCCTACCCACAGGTGATCACAATATGCGCCATGTAAGATCTCTGCAAAAGCAAAATTCATACACCTAGAAAATGACAAGTGTGCTTATTAAAACCATTTTTGCAGTTTACAAGAATAGCAAAGTCCTTTGATATCTAACCAGGAAAATTATAGAGGGAGGGGGAAGGAAATTCTGAATACACTTAGAAATAATGATCCAGACAACATTTCCCTTGAATTAGTTCATTTTAAAAGAGAACAAAGGGTTTGTCCTGCTGGGTAGCTTTTCAGCAGGGATGCCCTGCCTGCCTTATTTCAGATCTGCAACATTATGTGGTTTCAATTAGTGGTAGCACTTGCAAAACTAGTAACACAGACATTTTGGCATGAAATCTGACTCCAAGGCGGTGAAGGGTACTTGAGATCTACTCAGGGATGGGTGGAGAAATACAGTCCATTTGAAACAGTGTTGATCATTTGTCATAACGGTGTCATTTCTAAAAAAACCTCTCTTTATTTTTATAGGCTTGGCTTTTCATTTCTTCTTTGCCTCCCTATTTAGAATTTGCTTTCCACTTATCTAGCATTCCAATTTCCCGTTTCTTTTGTCACCTGACTACTTAACTAGGCCTTCAGTTAAGTTTTTCTTCAGGCTTTTAGGGGAGCCAAGTGTCCTAGCTAAGCATCCTCAAAATACTACAGTACTTTACAATGCTTAACATTTATAGGGTCCTCTTCATCTTCAAAGTCCTTTGCAAGCCCTAGTTACAATAAGAACAATCCTGTATTGTCAGGGACTGGCTGGTTTAATAGTCCTCCCTCCTCCCTTCATGTTGTGAAGTAATTTCCAAAACATCCCTTTAAGGCAACTGTTTTATTCCTTTAACTTTGCAGTCAGGAAAACTGACTTCTGTTGCTATTCCACATCAACATAAGTGCCTCTCCTAATACATCTGCTGGCAGAAAAAAGCCTGTGCATGATTCAACAAAATTTCCCAGTCCTACTTATCCTAGATATCTTGATAGGCAGGTGACGTTTCTGACGAGCAAAATAACAAATGTCACTACTGTGGTGACAGACATATACAATATTCCAAATATCCATTGAAAGAGAAGCCTTTAATACAGGAATGAAAGAGGCAACTGCTTGACAAGATTTGAACATGTGAAACTGTAATATTTTTAGCAATACAGTCAATAATTTGTCTATCATATCATGGTTCTAAGTAGTTTTTACCAAGACTTGCCTAATTATCTGCTACTCTAGCATGGTGACTGTCAATAAACATAGCGTATCTGAATGAAGACTACAGCACAAATACGGTAATATTTTTCAAGATTTACATTCCTAATACCCACCAAAGGACTTAGATTTGTTTAAGTGCCGCTCAGGGCTGTAGATCAAAAAGGCCCCCAAAGACTGCTACCCTCTCTTTGGTCCCTCTCTTTGGTTTGCTAGCCTAGCTCTGCTAAAGGAAAGTATCAAAAGTCTTGCTTTAAAATCAATACATATTTGGCTAAATTTTGTTTTGATACTTGTGGTTGCTCTCAAGCTGGAACAAAACCTAGGGACTGCACACTGAAACAGAATGAAAAGTACGGAAAGTTTTGCTGATATCGAACAGAATTCAACTGCTGAGTTGTGCGTGCCTCTGGTCACCAGCGTTTATTTTTACTGGTGTCCATCTCAGCCTTGCTTGCACACGCCCCCAGCCTTACTCTCGCTGGCGCTACCTGGAAGCAGCAACCTGAAGTAAGAAGCAGTGCAGGAAGGAGCAAAAGCACGGGGCATGTGGTGACTCTTTTTCTTCCTGATCCACTTAACAGGAATGTTTGGAGAATACAAATGAGCAGTTAGGCCACTCTGATCAAATTCATATGAAGTGTAGTTCAATTGATTTAGAGCTAGAATAACAAATTCACCCCACGCTTCTTCCAAGTCTCTGCAATGAGATAGTCTTATTTTGGTAACAGTCCTTCTTTTTACATGACAGGTAATCCACAATGATCCACAATCATACAAGCGGGATTTTCCCAATTTCACTCAAACTGCTTAACAGCTTTATTGCAATTCTAGGAATAAAGATGATCACATTTCACTGACTTAAGAGAGTAAGTTTAACACACTGTGCCATTTGCTACCACCCTGATGGGCTTTTTTTTCTGATCAATACATGTATTAACGCTAATAAAACACTTACGGAGTTTCCCAGATGTAGACATGGCCCCTTAATCCTTCCCTGTTCTGCTGGGGATAATCATTTTTACAACATGAGATCACTTGCACCAGTGAAGTGCATTTTAACACCTTTCCCTGTTATCTGTGTGAACTGATGATCCTAATAGAATCCCAGCAGTGCATTTAAACTTTATTTCCTAGGTTAATCAGGCTAAAAGACAGTTAGCTAAGTTTCCCAAAGGGGGCCTTCTCTGCGTCCAAAAAAAAATAAAAAAGAGATGCTGCTGGAATTGTTCATCACCAGAAATTTTGCCCACTGAGAAAAGAAAGGTGGCAACGCTACAAAAAGAAGGGGTGTTTTTGTCTTATAGTGGACAACATAGCACAAAAAAAAAGAAATATTTTCTGAACAAAGAAGTCAGGCCAGTCTCCCTCTTTTTTTTGATCTTTAATCCCTTCTCTCCCAAGTAGAATGGCAAAGGAGCCCTTCTCTCTTTCTAATAAATAGCTAGCAAAGGCAGGCTTTCAATGCTACATCCCTTTGATCAGCACAAAGCTGTCAGCTCCTGCCGCTTTTTTTTCTACCAGCTCTTGTTCCTGGTTAAAAGTGGAAGTAATACCTCCTGAAAGAAATACCCTAGGTGTCCTGCAAATCATCAATCCTATTTTTTTTCTTGTTGTTTTTCACTGGCCCACCCTCCTGGCCTGAGCAACCTCCCTACTAACACCCCTCTTCCTCTTTCCACCCTTTTTCCAGAATACCAGTTTCATTTGATACGCAATTCAATGTGCCAGTCTGACCTACTGGGACCTTGCTGTCTGAGACTCTACCACTGCGCAGACAGGGGAAACCTGCCTTCTCGCACGCGACAACAGTTACTTCCATACATTCATCCCCCTGTAAAGAAATAAAAAAAATGCTTCGTAGACATGGCAAAGGAATTCTTGGAAATGAGCTCTTATTAATTTGTAATAAAGCCCTATGTTAAAACCAAAAAAAAAAAAAAAGAAGCCCCAAACACCAAAAAAATTTCAGGTTTTGCTTGACCGAGTCTCTGAGATCCCATTTTGATCCAATCTTTAGGCTGCTGCGTTTCAGCCCACATCACTGCATCGCAGCAGTAAACAGCCTGCAAATACTGCTGCTTTCAGGCAGGTCACTCAGCGCATTTGAAAGCAGGCTCCTTGTTTACTGCTGAGATTATCTGCAGTCTGCGTTTCTGCTCACCGCAGCCTTAGGACCTGATGTACACTTTGTAAATATTATGCTGCACAGGAAATAATTCACAGAGGCAAAAAGTGACAATCAAGTGTGCAAGGTGGGACTGGTTTGTACTGGGGGAGCAGAGCAGAGGCTTTGGGGGGT